TCTATCTGTCTGTCTGTCTGTCTGTCTGTCTGTCTATCTGTCTATCTGTCTATCAGTCAAGTCAAGTCACCTTTATTTATATAGCGCTTTTAACAATACAGATTGTGTCAAAGCAACTGAACAGCATTAATTAGGAAAATAGTGTGTCAATAATGCAAAATGGCAATAGTAAATAGTAGCAGTCTGTCTGTCTGTCTGTCTGTCTGTCTGTCTGTCTGTCTGTCTGTCTGTCTGTCTATCTATCTATCTATCTAAGCAAAGAAAAATTAAATGTTATGAGATTAACATTATTCTCCTTTGATTAGATAAATATTTATTTGTTATTTGAGAAGGTTCGGGAAATGTCTCAAACCCGCTCGTTGACGTCACCGGGGGGCGTGGCCTATGCCGGAAGTGCGGGTGGCTCTTTGAGTTGCGCTCGTAGAATGCAGAGCGTCAGTTTCGCACAATAACAGACAGATTTCAAGCATGGCCCTCAACAACAATCATTCTGAATCTGGAGGTGTTATCATCAACAACAGCGAAAGGTAATGTCGCGTATTCATTATTGCTGTCATTATTTTGCTATATATAGATATATATATGATAAATCTGGTACTGTCCTATTTTTGATTTCACGGATTTGTCCAAAACGTCCATGATATTGAATTAATTGTTGTGTTTGAGGTTTTTCTGTTCACATAATATGAATAGTACAGTCTACAGTGTCATGTGTTGAATAACATCGCGTGAACCGTTAGATCACACCCATTTTATTCATTTGCAGTTTTCATACTGTCAGCTGTTTATGTATTCATTTTAAGCAACATTATGTTTACACGCTGTAAATGCAGCCCATAATCAGTCACATAAGTTGTTATCTTTTAAAAAACGTGAATCTTGCGCAGCTTTCAGAGTCCTACTATGGCGAAGTCTGCGTCTATGAATATTAAATAATTCAGTCATGCTCAAGTTGCTTGGAAACCTTCCTGCAGCCCTATTAATATTCATGACGCATGCCGACTGACTTACACGCTGTAAATGCAGCCCATAATCAGTCACATAAGTTGTTATCTTTTAAAAACGTGGATCTTGCGCAGCTTTCAGAGTCCTACTATGGCGAAGTCTGCGTCTATGAATATTAAATAATTCAGTCATGCTCAAGTTGCTTGGAAACCTTCCTGCAGCCCTATTAATATTCATGACGCATGCCGACTGATGAACCCCTGGTTGTGTTTCAGCCAATCAGCTGGAGGCATGCCACGTTACCTAATTAATATTAATGAGCTCAGCCCTCGCCATCGTAGGATTTGTATTTCTGCTGTGCTGTAAATGCTTGTTAGTCGCAGTAGGTCAGCAATAATCTTCTTAAGCTTCTTCTAAAAGAAATAACATGCTCTTAAAGTTTCACAATAGCTGTGATCTTATTACACAACGGATAAAAGACTGAGATTGATGACACCAGCTATGACAACATATCACTAACATATCAACAGACCATTAACATATTTTTATTTATTTAGTCATTTAGCAGATGCTTTTATCGTTAGTCGCAGTAGGTCAGCAATAATCTTCTTAAGCTTCTTCTAAAAGAAATAACATGCTCTTAAAGTTTCACAATAGCTGTGATCTTATTACACAACGGATAAAAGACTGAGATTGATGACACCAGCTATGACAACATATCACTAACATATCAACAGACTATTAACATATTTTTATTTATTTAGTCATTTAGCAGATGCTTTTATCCAAAGCGACTTACAAATGAGGACAACAGATATACATATATCACATAAGTACCCAAATATATTTGATATTGAATGATACTTTTTAAGCATTTTTATTTATTTAAATTGTTTGCATCACCTTGTACATTACGTTTTTATTCATACCCATTATTGTTATTATTACCTTAATAAGTTATTATTATATTTGTATTTATTTTAATGTATTTTTAATAATTTTACTAACTACTACTACTATTTATATTACATTTTTATAATATTACAGATAAATGATTAAATACTACAACTTGTAATAATAAAATATATATTTATTTTTAACTTTTACATTTTTATATTATTGATTTTTTATTTATATAATTTCTATTTTTATTTATATTATATTCATTAATATTATTATTATTGATACAAATGTTCTTATAACTACAACTTAAAATGACAATTATTATTATTATTATTTTATTTCTTAAATGTATATATCATTATAAATTGTAATAATATATATTTGATTTATTTTTCATATTTTTACATTATTTATTTCATAATAGTAGTATTTTATTATTGTTGTTTATTATTATTATTAATAGTGAATTATTATAACAAGAGACAACTTTCTTTGATTGCTGGTATTCTTTACATTTATAAACAAAAGTCTTTGTTCCTTGTCAGTGATGTGTTGCCAGAGAATGTGCTGACTGTAATAAACCAAATCTGTTTTCCTGCAGTGTCTTGATGTCATATGAGAATGTGGAGCTGGTGTTCAGTGACACAGAACGCTTGCCAGAAGCCTTCAGAAAAAGCAAGAAGGGAAGCGTTTACCTGACACCTTACAGGGTACATAATACAAGAGGAGGAGTTCAGACCATCATCTTATTTTTTTAATGATGATAAGGACAGAGCAATGAAACAATTAAATAATAAAAGTGTGCATTATCTTTAAACATATTTTTAATATGATAAACCTGATGGATTTGGGCATCGTCTGTCCCCTGATTGGCTACATGATGCATGTGATATATAAAATTTAGAAATGTGCAATAAGGTCTTTTTCAGTGGTTTGTAAATGAATGTGTTCATCATTTGAACTGCTGTGGTTTGATCTTTAGGTGATCTTCTTGACTAAAGGGAAGGACCCTCTGCAGTCTTTCATGATGCCGTTTTATCTTATGAAGGCCTGTGAGGTCAAACAGCCAGTACTTGGTGCCAACTACATTAAGGGAATGATCAGCGCCGAGCCTGGAGGTAAAACACCTCGAATTCGAATAATGCAAATAATTGCAGCTGATTCAATAAATTTACTTTCATATCATGTAATTCAAAACAATTGACACGTCTTTATATTATACAATATTGGTGTTAATATAATAATACATATTTTATTAAAAAAAAAGATATATATATACTGTATATTATGCATTCATGTTAAAAAACACAGTATTATGGGTGTTCAATTTTGATTTTCATGTTAACATGTTCAGCTTCAAATAAAAGTACTCAGATCAAGACCCTCCTTGAGTTTTCATTTGAATAATCTGGTCCTGGGAAGAAAGTATATGAAGAGTCCAGGTTTAGTGTAATCTGAACATCAAAAGGGAAGAGACAATGTACTCGTAGTAATAAAGTTTACTGAAGAGTGTTTCCATCACTGCTGCAGGTGGTTGGGAAGGTTCTGCAACCTTCAAGTTGATTTTTATTGCGGGAGGAGCGATTGAGTTTGGACAGTACATGCTACAGGTGGCGGCACAGGGTACGTTTTAAAAGTAACATAATTTGATTTAAAAAGAAATGTTTTACCATCAGGTTGTTGATTTGATGTGGAAGCATTACCTTCAGTCTCTCTCATTCATTTCAGCATCCAGAGGGCAACCGGTGACTGTAAATTACGGTTGTCCTTACATGGCGAACGGGGCGTACGCTTACCCTCCACCTCCTCCTGCTAACGGCATGTATTCAGCCACACCTCCTCCTCCTGGATACGCCTACCCTGGACCTCCACCTCCAGGTTATAACACAACATATTATGTCCAAAATAGTGCAGAGTAAACGATGTACTGACATTTAAACTTGTATTCAAAACACTTCAAACTGCTGTTATTTGGAGCAGTCGTAGCCTAATGGTTAGAGAGTCGAACTTGTAACCCAAAGGTTGCGGGTTCGAGTCTCGGTACCGGCAGGGATTGTAGGTGGGGGGAGTGAATGATCAACGCTCTCTTCCTTCCTCCCTCTGCTCCGGGTGTGTGTTCATTACTCACTGCTGTTTGTGTGTGTGTACTTGGATGAGTTAAATGCAGAGTACAAATTCCGAGTATGGGACACCACACTTGGCCACACTTTCACTCTGAATTTTTTCTCACAATTGCTAGTTTTAGATCTCACAATTCTAACTTTTTTGACCTATAATGTGACATGCTCAACTTTCCAATTAAAAAGTGATGAAGCAACCAGGAGGAATATCAGCTTTGATTGTTTTTAATATCTCCCTCTTGACTGGTTTGATTAGACTAAGTGGACCAAATTCGACTAAAAATGCAATCATTTGTTTGATAACTGGACTTCACTTGCTAAATTAAATAATAAACATACTATAACAAGCAAAGCATTACTATTGCATAAAAATTGTGTTTAGTAAGCCTAAATGATACATATTGTGAAGTATGCAAGTAAGCTATTCTGAACACAACCAATGATAATGAAATGAGAGTTTATGACTAGAGTTTTAGAGTATGAAATTTAATTTCATAATCACATATGTCAATATCTGAAGTGTTAAAAGATCAATGGACACATCATCCACGATGTAGTTAAACTCTGTAAAAAACAAAATGCTACTAAACCTGATACAGTAGAAATACGTAAAAATACAAATCACTATAACAAGAATCCTACAGCACAGGAACACAGAAGACGGAAATGAACAACATAACTGTTTGTACTTTAAAACTGCCGGCGAACAGGTCTGTTTCTGAATATTTAAAAACTAGAAATGGGAATCATATACTAGAGTGGATACAGCAGAAAATTATTTTGATCTCACTCGAACACAACATAAAAACTAAATAATGCACAGCTGGCCCTCAATGCAAACTCTTCAAAACTTCTTAAAAGTTCATGTAACCTGCTATCATTTGGCCACAGGAAATATGGCAAAGATTTAGGACAGAAACACACTTTATGAAGTACACAAACACAGATGTTCTGTGTGTGTGTTTTGGAATAGTTATTGAAAGACATCTCTTCTGCTCATCAAGGCTGCATTTATTTGATCAAAAATACAGCAAAAACAATAAAAATAGTTAAATATTATTACAATTTAAAATAACTGTTTTATATTTGAATTTATATTCAAATGTAATTTATTCCTGTGATCAAAGCTGAATTTTCAGCATCATTACTCCAGTCTTCAGGGTCACATGATCCTCCAGAAATCATTCTAATATGCTGATTAATATGAATGTATGAAATATATTTAAAAATAATTATTTTAAATTGTAATATTTCACAACATTCAAATCAATGTAGAATTTGTGAGCATAACAGACTTCTTTTAAAAACATTATTTTTCATTTTAAATACTTGCAATGAATATTTCACTACATATTTCACTTCAGTGTGAGCATCTGCGTCTACATACTTGCGTGAAGTATGTTTCAGCCCTTACACAATTCTCCACAGATCAACCCGAACCATCCCAGAGTAGATACTGAGCTCGTCAAATCTCACCACTGCTCAAAAACACCAGGAGTAAATGATGACAAAGGAAGGCCACACGTCTCAGGTTCAGCTACAGTAGGGATGATGCATCTATTTCCCCAGGATCAAACCTTTTCATGCACGCGGTTCACAGAGCGTAACGGTGACGCCCTCTCCGATCCAGCAGGCCGGGAGCAGTGCTTGTGTAAAGGCGCAGTGGAAGGCGTGCAGCCGGACCTGTCCCTCGGCGTAGTACGTCAGCGTCCCGGCATCATAGTCCAGCAGCATCCCGATGCGCAGCGGCTGAGCGTTCGGCTGCAGCTGGCCGGCGACGGACTCCTTGCAGCCGGCGTGCCACGCGCTCAGCTGCCGCTCGTCCAGCTGCAGGCTCCACGACAGCTCGTTCATCCCCACCATGCAGCGCTTGCCCTTCTCCTTGCGCGGGATGTTCGGGTACGTCACGCCCACATAGGCCCACGGTTTGGACACCTCCAGCTCCCAGTAGTGCTGGCCGTGAGTGAAGCTCTGCAAACACAACACCTGCCAGGTGTGGTCGAAGCGGGACTCATCGGCCAGGACGGGGCGGGGCCCCGATGTCAGATGCTCCGCCCTCCTGTTGCTCTGGGAGAGTCGTAAGTGAGCATTGGCGGTGCGAGGGTCGAAGGTCAGGTTGCAACGGTCTGGATGAAGAGAAGAATTGCAACATATGAGAATAATAAACTACTGATGGCTTCTAAAGCATTGTAGTATCCTGAGATGATATGATATGAGCGTACATGCGTTCAGTCCCTCCATCTCGGCTGGATATGATGGTGTTGCAGGACTGGGAACAACAGCCAGAACTGGCCTCTTATCTTGAGGAGAGCCTACGAGAAAGACAACGAGAAAATGATGATGATGATGAGACATAGATAACACAGGATTTTTAGAAAAAAAAAAAAAAAAAAAGTAAAAACAGTATTTTAAATAATTATCATTTATTTATAAAACTGTTCCCTTGCAAAGTTCATGATTGGTTAAATAAAATATGTAATTGACAGGACTATGGCATAAGTACCATAATATATATATTTAAAAAATATTTAGAATAAAATATATAATAAATAAATAATAATTGTTTATTTTATTTTAAATCTATTTTAAATACATCTTTTTTTAGCATCACTTTTTCATAAAAATCCGTAAATTGTTATCCACCAAGATTTTAAAAATATGGCAGAAAACATAAAACATGCTTGACAGATATGGATAAAACAATATTTTTAGACCAAAAAATTTAAATAAAATTATATTTTAAATAAATTTGTATTACTGTTTTAAACTTAATTACTATACCTTATGATACGTTATTGTTATTTTGTAACATTTATGACAGTTTATATAAATAAATACATTTACATTTATCAAAATAGTGATAGGTCTACCATACTATTACTTTGAAAACTGTCAAAAGGACCATTATTTTTTTGTACATTTTTGTTATTACTATGCTTTCATCAAACGGAGTATATATTGAGATATATATATATATATATAGTTATATATAGTTATTGACCAAAAGCTCTCGTTTTTGGCTGACATTGCCCACTCCTAGATTGGTATAATCTGTTGTTCTTTATAAAGTGTTTTTGGGTGTGTGTTTATGTTTGATTTAGGAGCAGGTGTATAATCTGAATTGGATTATACATTACACTAATTAATAGACTGCTGTGAAAAAAAAATATAAAAAAAAATGGCAGAAAATGTGTGTACAACTTCAGTCCATCCTAAAATAACAAGCACCGATTATTTTACACAGTAAAGATTTAATACCACAAATCTGACTAAATTTGGCAAATCCGGTGATTGACCTCAAACACTCAGCACCTTGCAAACATAACTTTGTTTACTGGCTGACTGATAAAAGAAATCTATGTGTCCTGACTCTTTAATAAATTTAAATAATTTTTATAATTTAAAAAAATGCAAGTAATTAGACTGAAACAGGTGATTTAAGACAGCCATTTTTGTGTGCATTTAGCGTCAGACGGTCAATGAACAGACTGTGATCATTCCTCACCCTCTTTATCCTGTCCTCCGGACACCTGTACAGCTCTCTCCAGATCCTCACACACCAGCTTGGACACGCGGGACAGGACGTCTGTGATGGGCGTCAGCTTCTCCTGAACGCTCACATGCACATCCACAGGAACGTCACTGAAGCGTGGGACCTTTATGAACCTGGAGTCCTGCATCAGCACACAAACATAATCAGACCTATTCACATCTGTGACAACATTAACAATAAACTCTAAAACAATCATATCAAAATTAATAATTAATATGATGATAAATTAATATCACTGTAAAAATACTGACAATAGTAATATTTTCCCCACAAAAACAATCTTAGTAGCATCAACAAGCATTTTTAAATGATTAATTTAAAAAGAAAATGAAGCCAGTTTTATTTTTTTATTTAATTAATAAATGTTATTAATTAAAAATAAAAAAAAATTTGTGTGGTGCACATTTCTAAAAATAACTAAATAAATAATTAAAAAATTACAAATATAAATAAAATAAAACTAAATAAAATAAAACAAAACAAAACAAAATTAAATTAAATTAAATTAAATTAAATTAAATTAAATT